TACCCTTGGTGACAACAATTTACTTTTCCCTAAATCATCATTTGTGCATATTATTTGAAATCACTTGATTGTCATATTAGAATATAAAAGATACACATACATAGTTTTTTTTTTTTTTTTTTTTTTATTTTTTTTTTTATAATTTAAATTATGATGTAAATGGAAAATTAAAGTATATCTAGAGGACATATCCATAATAATCAAGACTAGAGTACACCAATTCTCTCGGGGTGCGTTTGGATTGAAGCATTTGAATGAATGGATTTAAAATGAGTCCAGACGGGAGCTAGAGCATTGAAATGACTTCAAATGAGAACATATTTAAAATCTACCATATATATTTGCTGGAAAAACAACTAAAAATAGCTATGGAATTGGTGCCAATTATCTTAGGTTGCGTTTGGATTAAAAGATTTGAAATAAGTTAAAGTCTCAAAATTTTGAAATCACTCCAAATGAGAAAGCGATTTGAAATCGACCATAATTGGTCAAAAAACAACTGAAAATTAGATCTGTAAATTTAAAATTCCTTGTCAAACGACTCAATCGAAACAAATTCAATGGATTTACTATCGTGGATTTGTAATATATCCCTAATTTAAATACACCAATCCAAGTACCCATTAAAGATTTTTTTTGTAAAAATAAAATAAAATGAAATTCAAAATTTTACTTGTTTTATTTATTTGAAGTGTAGTACCCATTGGTAAAAATTATAATATCTATCTAAAAGGGAAAAAAAATTAGGTTGATAGTTATCACACACACAAATTTAGTTTTGTGTAAAATAATGTAAAGTAAGGGTAAGAGAAGAGCTGGAGTTTGAAAGTTGAAGCCTTTGAGGGGAAAGAATATTCTAAGGTCACCAAAGTTAAACAACTAAAATCCAAAGATTAAATACTAAACAATCAAAGAAAGCAAAAACATGATTAGATTATGATTAAAGTTGTTGGCAGGCAAAGTCAGCCCACAACCAGACGACTATACTTTCTTAATTACTCACACTTCCAAAAATTCACTGCCTGATTTTTTGTCAGTGTTGCCTCTCTGTTAATTAACTATAATCTTTTATCTTTTTTTTTTTTTTTTCTTTTTTTGGGGGAATCTTCCCTTTCTAATATACATTTTTAGCCCATTTCAAATACACATTTTACAACAAATTCTACATTTTAAATTTATAATAAATTAAATAAATTCACTTTCCATTAGATGAGATTATGTTAGTTTGGGTTCGACAACAATTGTCCACATGGAGGACATAACTCGGATATGGGTTGCCCACAATCGTATATTTGTGGGTGTTTGTGTGTGATGAATATACACTATAATATTCTGTTAGTTTGGGTTTGAGTTCCCATCACCATCAATCGCGTCCCTCGCTTTTCTTACCGTACTCAGAACTTTTGATATAGTTTTGTCATAACTCAATAGAAAATTGTTCAATATTATTATTGCTTTAAGAGCTTCCGTTCGATAAACGTTCTCTATAGTACATTGAACTAATGGTAAAATGAATAATAATTCCGTAAAAAATTATAAAAAAAAACGTATTTGTTGGAAATAGTTTCATAAAATAATAATACTTAACTTATTGAAAAGTTAATATTCCACTTAAATAATAGAATATTAATGATTTCAAATTTTGAATGTATTAATTTATAAATGTTTAACTGTATAGAACTTTTATATTTGATGAGAATCATGGATAAAGTGGTCAACATCTAACATTCAATATGGAGGAACTTCTAACTATTAGTCTATCCATCTAGGACCAAGACCTTCTCCATCCTCTAGCTTATAACTTTATGATTATACATTAGATTGAAAATTTTGGAATTAAAGTATAATATATATATATATATATATATATATATATATATATATATATATATATATATATATATGCAATAATTTCAATTGACTACCATTGGAATGAGTTTCAAATTTATAAAAATGACTCAAATAATAGTTTGAAATCTCGGTGTAAAATAATCTAACTTATCCAAATAAGTAGAGTATAGCATACATATATTGTTATGAACATGACATCTTCAAGTTCAAATCAAAACGTACCCCAAATGTATGAATGTATCTGACCTCGTTTGGTTGGGGTGATTAGCTATGATCGATTAGCTCAATAATGGATTTTTTTTTTTTTTTTTATGTTTGATATTCTCATTAACTTGTCGGGTCGACCGACAACTATTATCATGACTTATCTTACCTTCTAGCTAGTCATGTTTTTTATTGGATCGCCGAAGGTCCAATTATATAATTGAGTTTCATTAAATTATTTAATCTTATCTTGACAACCAAACGAGGCCTTAACGTTTCTAATTAATAATATACTCGAATTAAATAAGTCGAATAACTTTATTATTTATTTGTTTATTATTTTTTAATTATTAGATTCTCATTTGGTATATATTTAACAAGTGGGGTCAAAATTTTATTGAAAAATGAGATGAGAGATTTTTGGCCAAGGGTGTAGAGTGTGATTTAGGACGATTATTCCCTTTTTATGCTATTTTGCTTGTCGTTCTCTGTGGAGTTACTTTGTTTGGCAGTTGGGTAATATTGCACGTGCATGGCAGCTGCCTTTTTTCACAATCCATATTCAACGAATTTCACTTCTTAATTAATTCAATTTTTTTTTTCACCCTAAGATTTCATATCTTAATTATTAATTGCAACTTGTTACATTTGAATGTTTTTGATTACTCACTCTGTTGTACTCGGATGTTGTGGTGGTGATTAATGTTATAAATCATAAACACGGTTATTAAAATCGAATGTTTTGAACCGCAATTCGATTGTTGAACCGATTAGACTCGTTATAAAACTTCAAAATAATTAAAGATGACATGAATAGGGTAAAATTCGGTCGAATTGAACCATGTTGGATTTGGTTCAACAACGTAGAAAACGAGTGAATCAGATCAAAATTAGATTTTCACGTTTGAACATTATGAAACTTAATTTAATTTTATTCTATTTAATGTGTAAAAATTATAGTTCATGATAATGAATTGAATTATAGTCTTTTAGTTAGTGTTAATTGTGACTAGATTCTTTTCAATGTACATTTATATGTTCATTAATCATTACTTCCAAATTATTTATAAACTTTATAAAAAAAAATACAAAGATATTTGACGACATCCATTAGTTAATTACAATTAATGATTGTTCAATCCATGCCCGTTCTTAAGAACTCGGGGGCCCTATGCGAAATTTGAAGAACAACTTAAAACAGGGGTGTTCTTAAAAACTCGGGGGCGCTATGCGAGATTTGAAAATGACTATATTGTGTTCTTAAAATGGGGGCTCCTACCTAGCGACAAATCAAAAAAAACAATTATTCAAGCAGGTGTTCGAAATCGAATATACTAAAAAAATAAAAATAAAAATTATGGACTAAAAGATTACAGGAGTTCAGCTGTGACAATGTCCCCGAAATATTTTTTGAGATGTATGATCATAAAATAACACAAAATATGTAAACATTTCAAAAATAACAGGATGATTTGATGGTTCACTTCCTCCATGACGTTTAATCTTTATAACAAATAGAGTTCATGGATGTTTAAAAAATGAAACTCGAATAAACTAATGAATAATTGTTCTTATTTTAGGAATGAAAATAAGTAACGAAGACACGTGTCAATTTAGATATACTAAGTATCAATATAGAAAGTGTACATCAAATAATTATTTAGTAGCCCTAATTTTTGGTAAAGGGGCCCTTACGACCGCCTCCCCTTATACTTAGCCCTGGTTCAATTATGTGATTAGATTTTGAGTCGATCTCTTTGCCATCTAAAGATTCCTATAAGAGCAACTTCAATGGTAAAGTATCAAAATCGATCATCAAATATTAATTTGATACTCATTTTATTATTTTGATACTCATTTACTCCAACCGCAAGCATTAAATAAATCATCTAATTTTAAATATAAGCATAAATATATTTAATATTGACACGTGTCAATTTTAATTGGTTTGTTGGGTAGTTAATGTTTTGATACCTCTTTTTCCAGTATGCATTTTTGCATCTCGGGAAGTTGAATATCAAAATAACTACCAATTTAATTCCCCCATTGGAGATGAAAATTTATGTTTTGGAGCATCAAAATAGAAGTTATTCCATTTAATTCCTCCACTGGAGTTGCTCTAAGCACTCTAAATTAATAATGATTGTTGAATAGTTAATATCTTGCTAAATTTATAATTTTCGATTTATTAATTTATAGAGGTTTGATGGTCCATGTGATATATTTGAAAAATAAAATAAAAAAAATACCCTTAATGATGAACTAAAGAAGCACTTGGTTATTAATCCATGAAGCATATCAGATCATTCAAAAAAACATATCAGATCATTAAGATATGAAACAAAGTTATATAAGATGAATTAGTGGGGTTTTTGAGATTAATCAAACAATTAAGTCACATTCGACATATATATTCATGCTTGGTAATTGGAACAAAAGTTTTAATAAAGTAATATATAATAAAATAAATAAAAGCAAAACAATTATGGGATAATCATTCAATTAGAAAGGCAAATGGTCGTCTATGTGTCATCATACACTCTTCCAACTTTGACCTGTCACCGCCTCTACATAAAAAATAAATGAATAAATAAGGGTAAATAGCACTTAACCCCCTATAGTTACAAGCTTTTGCAGATGACCCCATTGTGTTTGCAATATCAGCACATAACCGTCTTGTGGTTTGGGGTAGCTTAATTACGTTAGTTTTTCCGTCAAACTTAACTGCATGTGTCAAACTTTAAAGTTATTTTTTTTGCAGATGATCTCCCTGTGCATACATTTTTCCTTTCATTTTTTGCAGATAACCCCCTTGAAGTTTGACATATACGGTTAAGTTTGGCGGAAAAACTAATGAAAGCTACCCCTTAAACCACAAGGGGGTTATGCGATGATATTACGGGTACAAGAGGATCATCAGCAAAAGATTGTAACCACATGGGGTTAAGTGCTATTTTACTCATAAAATAATAAACAAATAAATAATCGTTTTGTGGAAAATAGTAAAATTCTATGACAACCACCAGCAAAGTTTAGTATCCCTATAAAAAAAATATATTCTTTTCCAAATCCCTTTATTTATTTATTTTTAATTTTCAAAAAAACATGACAACTATTTTTGCATACAAGTATTGTTAGTTTATTAGTACTAGCTTTGTGGTACTTAATGAGATTGAAAACCTTAATCCTCCACTTCATTCTCTTTTATTACAACTGCATGTGAGATTAGAGAAAGAAACTAGAGAGAGAAGCGAGAGAGAGAGAGAGAGAGAGAGAGAGAGAGAGAGAGAGAGAGAGAGAGAGAGAGAGAGAGAGAGAGAGAGAGAGAGAGAGAGAGAGAGAGAGAGAGAGAGAGAGATGACAAGCGAAGCAATTTCAATTGGTTCAACTACTCAAAACCCATCTTCTGATGGATCAAATCCTCCTCCAAAGAAGAAAAGAAACCTCCCAGGAACCCCAGGTAATAATTAATTTCTTTTTTATTTATTTTCAACAAATTATATATAATAAATATATGATGTATGTATATGTATATGTATATATATATGCAGATCCTGAAGCAGAAGTGATAGCACTGTCACCGAAAACCCTAATGGCGACAAACAGATTCCTGTGCGAAATATGCGGAAAGGGTTTCCAAAGGGACCAGAATCTGCAGCTGCACAGAAGAGGGCACAATCTGCCATGGAAGCTGAAGCAAAGGAGCACCAAAGAAGTTAGAAAGCGCGTCTACGTCTGCCCCGAGAAAACGTGCGTCCACAACCACCCGTCGAGGGCGCTCGGCGACTTAACCGGGATCAAAAAGCACTTTTGTCGAAAGCACGGCGAGAAGAAGTGGAAGTGCGATAAGTGTTCGAAACGTTACGCGGTCCACTCCGATTGGAAGGCCCACTCCAAGACTTGTGGCACTAGGGAATACAAATGTGATTGTGGGACTATCTTCTCTAGGTATATATTAATTACATACATATATTTATATCTATTCTTTGAAATTCTTTTTATTATATTTTTTTTTGGACTATATAATATTTTTTATCAAAAATAAAATCGTCAAAACTAATTAAGTGTGACCAATTAGGGCTTTTAATTAATAAAAATCATACGTGCAAAGATAAGATATGTAGCTATATATAGTGCTATAGCCTATGTATAGATAGGGGTGAAGACAAATTAAATTTTGTAGTGCAAGTTGTGTTGTTGATTTTCAGGCCTAATAATCTAGGTGGTTAATTTATTAAGATATTTCTTGATTTGGGTTAATTTGTTTAATATTTTTCAAGGAAAAAATGGTGTTAGTGATACCCCTATTGTAACAATATAAAAAAATTTCGTCATTGTCGCTATATAGCATTAGTGATACACCATTACTAAACAGTACATTGACAACGTTTTTTCGCCTGCAAATGTGAAAATAAATGCATATATCACTCAAAAAAATATTTTTTTTGTAGTGTTTGTTTGTGTCCGTTCCCTCAAGTGTCAACGAAAAAAAAAAAAATCTAGATCTTGTTATATATGTTTAAACTTCTATTTTAAGTCCACCTCATTGCTAAAGAATTTTGTTTCGATTTTTACATACGTTCGTTTAGTTTCTAACTTTGCTAATGAACAAATTTTCTTAATGAATATATAGGAGAGATAGCTTCATCACCCACCGCGCGTTTTGCGATGCCTTAGCGGAAGAAACGGCGAGATTCACGGCAGCTTCGCAGAACATAACCAACCACATTGCACCAAATAACAACATCAACTACCATTTCATAGGGTCATCACCACTAGGCCACCATTACCCTTCGACCGGCCCGTTATTTCCAACGGGACGAGGTAGTCTACCCCTATGGATGGCTCAATGCCCGCCCCGTGTCGAAGATTCCACACCCAAAAATCATCAAGAAATGCACCACCACCCAATGGGAGTCCCTTTCACTTTTGGAGCACTTGATAATAACTTCTCCAATTTTGATCCACTTGTTAATAACAATCCATCTTCTTCTAATTACCACCTAAATTGGGACTTAGCCAATAATCCAATCCCTTTAAGCAACGCTAGAGAAGTAAGCGCTCCGTCCTTGTTCAGCACTCAAAACCACCACCAACCGTCGAACGCAACTATTTCCGCCACCGCTTTACTGCAAAAGGCGGCACAAATAGGAGCCACCACCACCACAACTCACGAACACCCTTCGTTAATTCTCGGTAGCTTTGGCGGTGAGAATAGCAACAATATGGGAGTGCAAGAAGACCACGGGAACAAGTTTTGCGGATTGTATGGCACGAGCTCGGCCGCCACTAGTGGCGGCGGACTTGGGAATAGTGACGTGGAGAGCTCGGTGGTGAACGATTTTTCTCCGCTCAATCAAATGGAGATCAATTACCTTTCCAAACGGAGACGGTTATTGTCGTCGGACGAGGGCGAAACGAGGGATTTTCTTGGCGTTGGCGTGCAATCTATTTGCCATCCATCATCTATGAATATAATGGATGGATGTGATTAATTCTTGAGGAGTACTTTGAAATATTGATTGATTTGTCATATTATTAATATGTTTTCTATCAAGAAATGGGATTTTGGAAAAAAAGATGGCAATTATTAAAAGTGGAGTTTGATGTTGGGATAAAGCAATTAAGGGGGTGGAATTTAGAATATGCAAACTTTTCAGGGAGGAAAAATTAAAGGTGTATAGAAATAATTATTCAAAGGTCTAAGAATTAAGATCCATGCATATTCTGTTTAATTCCCCATGAAAATATATTCCCTTTTGAAAGTGGTGGCTTTTATTTATTTATTTATTATTATTATTATTCTTATTATTAATTTTACTTTATTTATTTATTTTCTTAAATTATTTTTTATGGGTGAAAAGGGCACTTGTGGTGGGGGCAAAGAAAAGGGGCCTTTTGGACTCCATTATTGTTGTCTTTCAATTATGCCCTAGTTGTTATCTTCTCAAACTATATATATTTATTTAATAATATTTTATTTGTATTTTGAAGTAAAAAGATAGATTAATTGAGTGTAAAGGCAAAAAGATAAATCTAGTTGTTGGCTACCTTATTGCTTTTCTTGTTGAAATACATGTACTGCTCTCCTTTTTTCTTAGCCTTTCCGAATTTGCAAATGAAACAAGTTGTTGTTGTTGGTATTTGTGGATTGCAAGAAATAGAAGAGAAGTGCACAATTATTTGTCTACCTATCATCAATCTATCAACCCCACCCAAGAAATTAATTACACTGTTTTTTTTATTTATTAATAATTTTAATAATTTAATCTTTCTTTTAACTAAATTGGTATTTTTTTCTCCGTGTGATGCACGGGATAACGTTTCGAAATTGAAAATAATGATTAGTTTAATACATGACATTAACAATTATAATGAAATTTATTATTAGTGATATAGGTAACAACATTAATATTTATACAAATTTAGTAAGACAAACTCATTCCGAAAAAAAGTATATAAACTTAAGGGTTAATAAGCCATGACCCCTCAAACGAAACCTAATTTGAACTAAATGACAAGTTCAAATCACATCTTTTAATTAAATCCTTAGTTTGAAATAATATATGAGCCACATCCCTAATTTTTTTTAGGCTGCGGCTATATGCAATACTCATTCCACTTGTGCAAGACCAAATTAAAGAAAGATTCCAAAAGATTCTATTTTATTAAGATGGAATGACAAGTATGCCCATAAATTAAATTGGCCATTTTTTTCTCATGTAAGACCAAATACAAATAATGAGAAAAAAACAAAAATCGACACCAAGGTGTCGAAAAACTATGCTACAAATCGACACTTAAGCGTCGAATTTCAAAGGTAAAAATCGACATTGACATGTTGAGTTTTATACCTCAAAATCGACATCTAAATGTCGAATTTTATACCTCAAAATCGACATCTAAATGTCGATTTTTACCTGTAAAATTCGACCTGTACATGTCGAATTCGTTTGCGCGGGATTTTTTTTGGAAAATCGATATTCTAGCTAAAAAAATCCATAAATGCATACATTCTTGGGTTCTTCCATCGTAGAATCTTCTATTTTGATGTCTTCTGACTCCATACTTGCCATCTTTGTAAGATTTGTTGAGTTTTGATGATTTTGAATTTCTAGGTTTTGTGGGTTAATGGAGGAGGAAGGAGAAAGGTCTTGTGAGTTTTGGAAGATGGAGAATATGATAGTTGGTCTTGTGGTTTTGTGGTCTTGTGATAGGGTTTTTTGTGTTTTTGAATTTTTGGTCTTGCATATTTGGAATTTTTTATTTTTTTAATAAATAAGGGTATTATAGTATTTATACATTAAAAATTTTAATTTGGTCTTACACAAGTGGAATTAGTCTTGCATATAGCCGCAACCTTTTTTTATCCATATCTTACCCTTATACCCTAAATCATATAACCCATACATTCACGTTTCTTCAATTTAGATTAATTTTTCTTCTTTTCGTTTTCTCTCTCTCTCACCGTTCTCTATCACACGCTCCAATCTCCCTCTCTCTCTCTCTTCTCTTCTCTTCTCTCTCTCTCTTCTTTTTCTCCACTAGAAGAATGGAGGCCGTCGCCGCCGCCGGTGATGGAGCAAGGAGCAGGGGCGGCGTGGTGGAGGCGGCAGAGGGCGGCGTGGTGGAGGCAACGGCGACGGTTGAGGCGGCAGTGGCGGTAGCAAGAGGCATGGTGGGGGCGGCGGTGGTGGCGGCGAGTGGAGGCGTGGTGGAGGAGGCGACGACATGGGGCTGTGTGGTGGGGTTTGTGGTTATGGTTGGGGTGTTATTGAAAGCATATTTTGACTTATTAATCGCATCTAATTTTCTTATTTTTAAGAGATTTTGCTTGATTTGGGTTCATATGGCGGATCTAGGTTTTTCCAAAGTCGGTGGGTGACTATACTCGCATTGGCTGCGAGCGGTAACGGCTAGGGTTGGCGGCGGCTGAAAAATTGTTGGCGGCTAGGGTTTGGTCGTAAAATATAGTACACTGTAGTATACTATATTGCACCGTAGTTTACTATAGTATAGTACACCCAAGTATACTATAATACATTGTAGTATACTATAGTCTACTACAGACCAATTGAAAAAAAAAAGCATGCTTTTTATTTTTCTTTTTTGTAATTTTCAATATTATGTAGAAAAAAAGGAATTTTTTTTATAATAATGTATAAAATAATAAAATGAAGAAAGAAAAAAAGGAAGATAAATGGATATTCTGTAAAAAAAAATGTCATATGGAAATTTGAAATATTAAATGCATAATAAATAAAATGATAAATACAGTTTACAATTTATTTAATGCATATTTCGAATTTATGAGTAGAAGGACATTTTTGGAATGAATTTTATAAAGGATGTGAAGTAAATATTTAGTTGGACTTGTCATTTAGTTCTAATAAGTTTTGTCACTAGGAACCTATATCCTAAGAACCCTAAACTTAATTGCCATAATATGAAATTGATCATTAAATAAATGAAGCAATTTTTTTTTTTTTTTTGAGAAAATAGACTGAATGATAGGAAATAAAAATAATAATAACAATTAAAAAATTTAGTGTTGTGGAATATATATATATATTAAATAGTATTTTTTACAAATATGCCATTAGGGTTTCTTAGGTTACCATATCGTTTCTAAATAGTATCTTAGGTTACAAATATATCGTATTTTAATTATCACAAACAATTCTAAATTAATTCAAATTATTCTAATAATATACTGCACTTAATATTTTGGAGATTCATGGCACGATCTCATCTCTTTTTTAAGGCATTGATAAAAAAAATTCAAAAATAAGTAATATTCATAAATTTTATTTAAAATAATACAATTTTTACCCATCTTATTTTATATTTTATATTAAATATGATATATTTATCTATAATTTATATAAGATTTTGGAGAAAAAAACAAAAAAAATAATGGGTCAAGACAAATATTGACAAAAACTTTGGTGGGGGCCAAAAGTAATATTCGAAAAATTTAGTACCAAATATCTAATTTTTTTTTCTTGGGGGTCAACGGCCCCCCCATGCCCCTTGCAAGTTCCGCGCCAGTGTCCCCTAACCAAGCATATTTATTATTATTCTAGGTTTAGGGGTTATATCTCTTTCATCAATAGGGATGGCAACGGGTCGGTTCTAGAACAGGTTTGCCTAAACCCAAGACCCGACCCACGAAAAATATATAAACCCAAGACCCGACCCAACCCTTTTTAGCTTAGACCCAAACCCGCCCCAACCCAGACCCTAACTAAATGGTTCTGACCCGCCAGACCCGCTAGACCCATTAACATACAAAAAGTTTAATATTTCTTAACTTTCATAACATTTTGCTTGTATATTATTACGAAATAATCTCAATACTAAAATATAATATTTTAAAAAGTCTCTACAAGTGCTGTAACATGAACAAGAAAATTACAATTAATTATATTTAACTTCGATAATAAGTAAAATTCAAAATGCAAGACAATTAGCGGTGGTCGACAAGTGATAAATATTACTCGCGAGAAATGAGTATATATATATATATATATATATATATATATATATATATATATTATAAATAAAGGAAACATTCATGTGTATGGCAATATTACCCCCAAGCCTTTATACTCAGTTCTTAATTGTAACCCCAATTTAATCAATTTTGTCCACAAAATCCAATTTTGACTTTTTTTTTTTCAAAAAAAAAAATTTTGGGCCGCCGGATTCCGGTGTTGACTTTCTGAATTTTTTTAATGGTCTATTTTTTTTCAGCCGCTGGATTCCGGTGATGATTTTTTTTAGTGTTTTTTTTTTTTTTTATGTCCGCCGTTAAACGTTGACCGTAATTGTGCTGTCACTAATAGTAAATTAAGTAATTATACTGTTAATGACAGTTAATTAACGTAATTATACTTCCGTTGACAATTCATTTATGTAATTGTTCTGCCGTTGACAGTAAATTAACGTAATATTATTATTTTTTATTTTTTGTTATTTTTTTTAATTTTTTTTGATTTGTTGTAAAGTCAATGTAATTATATTACTGTCGTTGACAGTAAAATAACTGTAAACACAATAATATTACTCTCAACAACATCAAAAAATATTAATTTTTTGAGTTTTTTTGTTTTGTTTGAGTTATTCACGGAGTAAACGTAATAATATTACTGTCTATTTTTGTAATATTACTGTAAACACAATAATATTACTGTGGTTGACGGTAATATTACTGTTGTTATAGTAATATTGCTGTCAACCACATTAATATTATTATTTTGTTTGGACTTTTTTGTTTGTTTGAGTTATTCACGGAGTAACGTAATAATATTACTGTGGTTGACGTAATATTACTGTTGTTATAGTAATATTACTGTCACTCACAGTAATATTAATTCTTCTGGCTTTTTATTATGTTTACATTTGTTGAACGGTACTTTATTCCACAATAATAATGAGTTTTGTTGTGTTAATATTATTATACTAGAGATTAATATAGCAATATGATTGTGTTAAACTGTAGTTTAGTTAATTTTAATGTGTCAATCACAACAATATTGCTATTTAAACGAAAAAAATGTTATAGAAACAAAAAAAAATTATTATGGACAGCCGGTGAACGCAGGAAACCAGTGGTTGAAAAATCAGGAGAAAAAAATAATAATTAAAAAAGTCAACGTCGGAGACCGGCGGTCAACGGCGGTGACGGACTATTTTTCCAAAAAAATGTGTTTTGGGTCAAAATTGAATAATTTGTGAAATTTGGGGTCAAATTGAGGTTAAATTAAATTAATGATGAAATTGGAGCATATTAAATTATAAGGGGCTATTTTAGTCTTTTATAAAAATCTGGACCATGTATGGACTTATCTGTAAATGAGTTTATTGTTTGGATCTATTTATCAATAAGTACCCATTAATGCCCTTATTCGTAAAGACCCCTTATATGTATAAGATATTGTCATAAGTACCTATCAACTTCATAATTAAATGTCCTACAATATATCCGATCAATTATTATAAGGGTAATTTGCATCCACCTCCCCTGAACTTTGGGTTTTTCCAAGTATATCTCAAACATTTAGTCTTTTGGCATATACACCCCCTCCATCCATTTTTCTATCTTAAACCGTTAGTTTTAGGGGTAGAGTAGGAAAATTGCATATGAATAAATAAAGAAAGAAAACAATTAACTTGTAAAATTAACATGTGGACTACAAAAGGGATTTTTAATTAATTTTTTCAATCTTGCATCTTCTCAAACTTTTTAGACATCATATATATATATATATATATATATATATATATATATATATATATATATATATATATATATATATATATATATATATATATATATATATGGGCAAATATGTCTCTCAATATATATATATATATATATATATATATATATATATATATATATATATATCCACGTGAAATACATATATATATATATATGTATATATTTTTTTATATATATAAACAGAGACAGATGTATTTCTTGAAATTTACAGGCATAAATAAAACGGTGCTTAAGTCAGATGTCCGAAAACTAACAGAGAAGGCCATATTAAGACTATTTTTCGAGAGCAAAGGGGCCACTCTATGTTATCTAGAGAGAAAGAGGTAAAGTGATACTGACCCAAAATATAAGAGAAAAGGTGAATGTACTCTTATTTGTTTACCTATCAACCCCACCCAATAAATGAATTACACTTTTTATAAATAAGTTTTAATAATTCAATATTCTTTTAACTAACATTGTCATAAATGTCTATCAACTTCATGATTAAATATCATAGGAAATATCCATTGAGAAAAAAATGAAACTTGTTAAGCTTGAGAAAAGGGGAAGGTAATAGTTCCTCGAGTGTAAAATTGCATGGATGATATACCTCATTGGACAAGTCTAATAAGCTAATGACTACGGTGGTGTTTGCAAATGATTATTTAAAAGTAGAAGTTAGTGATTGTGATTTAAGTTAGTTTTAAGTGCTTATTTCTAAAAGTTGGGGATGTTTGCAAATATTTCGGAAAATGAACTAAAATTGAAAAAGCAGGGTTATGGGTGCTTTTAAAAAAATAGCTTAAAGCAGATTATTTTAAGAGAAGCAAAAGCAAAAGTTGATTTTGCAAACACCTAAAAACAGATTATGAGCAAAAAAAACCGCATAATCACTTTCAAAAAGCATTTGCAAACACCACCTACGTAGGGCATTGAAAAGGCCCAATTTGTCACCCATCTACAAAATTGTTAATTAATAGCTTAATGCGATTATAGTAAGAGTTATAAGTCTATTAGGTATATTAATTCTACTTAAAATTCTACTCTAACAAGGACTCTACCAATCACAGTATAAATAAACTTAATCACTCGCTTTAGAAGGTACGTACTATTCATCACGCCTAATAGATAGAACTCTTACTGTTCTACCTATCCACTTGTTTGCCTAGATACCTGACTTGAGTTGGAAGGGTTTTTGCAAGATCATCCAACTTAGTTTATGTGTGCTTAACCTTGTAGGTTCAAGATTCATGCATTTCACAAACCCCCTGCATGGCAAGAAATCCAACCTATGTCACATACTCGCGTGTAGTGACCTACCATCAAGTTCCCGTTTAATCTACCCAAGATGAGTGATACGACATCATTTTGGCGCCGTCTGGGAAAACAAATTAGACCGTGAAGTAGATAAGGTGATCAAGAGAACCGCCTATCCCGAGGAGCTACCACCTTAGCACGCACAAACCTCCCTTCGATGGTGAACCCACCTAGGATAACCAAAGTCCCACCTCATCCATGTGGGTTGAATTCAGTCCCGCCTTCCTCCGCCTCGGTAGAATTAACCCCCATCGACTCCACGTACTCAAATAAGTAAGGAGGCACTTAAGCTTATGATCCTAGAAACAACTTGGCGGCGAGATAACTCCCACGAGGAGCACAGTTATACTGCGGTGAGACAACTCCCACGAGGAGACAACTTGCTCCACACTACTACCTCACGGCGAGACAACTCCTACAAGTAGACAACGCCCTCAGCGCTACCACCTCGCCCGCGACGAGACAAATCCCACGAGGAAACAAATTGCTCAGCACTACTATCCCACGGTGAGACAACTCCCACGAGGAAACAACTCCCTCGAGGAGACAACTCGCTCGGGGCTATGACCCCACGGCGAGACAACTGCCACGAGGAGAAAAGTCCCTCAGTGCTACACCCCGCCCGCGACGAGACAACTCTCACGAGGAGACAACTCTCACGAGGCATAATAAACGACTTCGTGTAGTGAACCAAATCCAAATATTTTGGTAAATAGGAGGTTACACCAAACTTTTAAGGTAGACATTGAGCATCATGTCATTCTTTCCGTCATTTTTTAATTCTATTCTTGTTTTCGTGATTTTTTTTTAATTTAAATGCAGGGAGCAGTTGGTGCACTTGATGAAAAACTAGTACATGCCATGGTCATGCTCACCTTAGGAATGTCATTAAACGATCTTATGGAGTTCTGGAAAAGATGGCTCCTTTCTTGTTTGATTTGCAGAGAAGTACAGTGATTTCCTATTTTACGGTGCATAATTTTATAAGAAAAGAGCGTATTAATCATAATTTTTTTGAGGAAGTTGTTCAATCTAATATGCCTTTTGATGGTGTGAACATAAAAATTTCAAAGAATTTCTAGCAAGGATATGAATAGAATTGAAATCCATTACAACATGAAATTACGAACACTACGAATAACTTATAGTAACTGCCCTTGTAGAAAAATCTCTTTGTGTTCATATGCCTCTCCGTCTCGAAAATCTTCTCAAACCAAAACAATTCTCTATAAAAATTCCTTGAGAACTTGTGATGGATATAAGATTTTGGGCGAGAAAGGAGAGAAAAGAGGGGGAGATGTCGTCGTCGGCGGCTGTGGATAAGCGGCGGCGAGGATGTCGTTTGCCGCCATTCCTTCTCCGTCTGCCCTCATTTCAAGGTAATTTTCCTTTTTTTAAAATCTTTGTTTGTTTATGTTGAAAATTTTGTATGTGTTTGATTATTGCGAACTATTTTTGGGTTTTTTCTCGGAATTGTGTGTTTGTTTGTTTTATGTTGATTTGATGAGCCCGTGTTGCTCGTAATTATTGTTGCTCGGAATTATGCGAACTACCACCTTAATTTAGTTTTAGTTTATGAAAGTAACTTTGAGAATAATTGTGATTTTAATAATTGTGATCATTCCCAATTTCTAGGTAATCTTGTTAATTAAAGCATGCCAAAAGATAGGAGTTGGGTTTTATTAGATGATCGTCGGTTAGAAGTATATCAAAATGGTTGTGTGGAATTTATGGATTTTGCTAATATTTTTAACTCAGATGAAGTTCAACCTTACATTGAGTAAGTGACTTGCTAATATTTTGAGTTACTACTATCTTCAATTGATTTCCAATTAAAAAATTACACAAATCCTTCTAGGGAGCATTTCGAGACCATTAAGAATAAAATCTCGACAAGTGACCATGCATACCAATGGCGCATTCAACAATTACAAGAAAAAGAATTTCGTCATTGGTTTCAATCCTATGTAAGTGTTTGATTTGACTTGAACTTCCTTTGCAAATTGTTTTGAACAAAGTAGTAATAATTAATTGATAACGAAATAGGTGCAAGGAAAAAGTGAATTGTCTGAAGATCTGAAAGCCTTAGCTTGTTCACCTCAATTTAGAGTGAAGAATTTAAAGAGATTTGAAGTGCAAGGATTTATGTTCCGCACAAAATCATCTGAAGAGTCTCTTTTAACTCAAAATAGTGGTGTTTTTGTCAAAGCAAAGACTACTAGTTTCGCAAGCTCAAAGGATAAATCTCCGAAAGAAGAAGATGTAGGGTACTACGGCGTAATAAAAGACATCATTGAACTTTCATTCGCTGTAGGTACAAAAAAGGTGGTTTTGTTCGAGTGTGATTGGGCTAATATTCGCATGAATAAGACGGATGGTTTGAGATTTACACTTATGAACTTAACAAAACCAGATATAAAAACAAGTCCTTTTGTTATGCCATGTCAAGTATTGCAAGCATTCTACGTTGATGATCCGCAAGATAAACCATGGATGGTTCCTATTGTTATTAAACCAAGGGACAACTTTGCCTTGAGTCCTGATGATCCTACTGCACTTGAAGATGAATGCTATGAGATACTTCCTATAAACCATGACATAAATATTATAGATGATATGGAAGAGTGAGGGATTATTTTGTTGATCAAATGTTAGTTGATTGTAATTTACTTGTAATATACTTTTGTTTATGTGATCATTTTATTTTTTTATTATAATTTACTTGTTATATAAATTATGTTTAATATTTATTGCCATATATCATGCATGTCATAAGTATTATGTTCATTTTATTTTTGTCTACGTATATCTTATTTCTTTTCTCAGGCGAGCGATGTCGGAGGAAGATATTTCTGTTGATCATATAGGAACCGAGTCTACAGGTACTGACGTGGTTGATTTGGAGTTTGACGACAAGGGTATTCCCGTTGCACCTGGGAGGTACAAGTTGGCGGTGGCTATTAGTAACGAGGTTACGCATTGGGATAATTTTGATCCATGTATTTCTTGGCCTAACCACAAAAAAATGGGCCGTGTCGAGGGACTGTGGAAAGCGTTTAAGGTATTTGTATGTAATTTTTATTTTATATAAGTTATTTAATTTTATGTTTCATTTCAATTGTATATTTTATTTATTTTATTTAGGAAACTTGGAAACTTCCTGAAAATGAGGCTACAAAAAAATGGTTCAATGAGACTGCTAACGGTCGTTGGAAAGATGCGAAAACTAAACGATTGAAGGCAGTCTTTGATAGAGCTCCAGACCTTGCCACGGCTAAGGCAAATTGTCCAAATAGGATTAGTGTTCAAACTTGGGAGAAACTATGTGATCAATTTCATTCTATTTCCACTTCTGGTGTTGATGGGAAGGTAAATTATATATATTTAATTTATGAATCATGTTTAAATATATTAAAGAGGTTTAATTTTTTGTGTTATTGTTCACAGTCCAAATCAACCAAATGCAAGGACTCGCGAAAGAAAGTCTCGACAGACCACCATTGGGGTCGAACAAGTATCAATAGTTGGTCCCACAATCATGTAAGTAATTTGATCTATAATATTAATTTATTTAAGTTTAAAATAGATACTTACTTTATAATATTTTAATATAGTTTAAAAAATTGGGCAAAAATCCTACGGTGTTTGATACGTATAAGAAAGCATATATGGGTATTGATGTACTGAGGGAAACCGGGCCAAGTATTAGTGAGGAAGGAGATACACAACAACCGTATAATGGGATAGCAACTCCTGAACAACTTCGCATTTCGGTAAGTGTAATGCAATTTTATTCTTCAGTTGGTTGTATGTTAATTACTTATGTTTATTGTTGTCGCATGTTTATCATATGTAAATTATTTGATATGTTAAATTAGTACGTAGTTGAGATATGTGGATATGAATATTTGTTTTAAATAATGTTAAGTTGTTGCGTACATGGATGGTTTTTTTGGGGATGTTCATTTATTAGTTGTTATGTTGTCGAAATTTTGCTAAACAAGTGTACTTAATCATTTTCAGGCTGATTTGGAACGAGTGTACGATGAGACAATTCGTGATGGAAGTGACGAAAGCACGGCCAACTCAATTGCGATAGAAAAAGTGCTCGGGAAAAGCAAAGGGCTTGGAATTAAGATTGCAACCACCACAAAGAGTTCAAAGTCGAGATTTTCTTCAATTCCGCCGGAAGTGCAAATGGAAATGAATTCAATGAAAGAGCAAATGCTACTTAAAGATGAAAAAATGGAAAGATTGGAAGCGGAATTGAAAGAAACCCGAGAAATTGTGAACACCTTGGTCGGCCGTTTTGGACTACAAGCCTCGACATCGACTCCTTCCAATGATGGTGGAGTATAAAAAAGGGATGAACTTTGTTTGGTTTTTGAATTAAACTTTGCAACACTACATTATATGCTTTTAAGTTTTATGTACTTTTTTAATTTATGTTTTGTGCTACCTTGATATTTAATCCGTATAATTGGTTTTAATATTTTCGATATAAGTGTTTTTTTTTTTTTGTACAACTGCGGAATACAGGTTGAATTTCTTAAATGAAAAAATAAATAAACCAGAAATTATATTAAAAAAAATAAAAAACCTAGCGACGAATAAATAAAACAAATCGTCGCAAATAAATCATGGGGCTTGCGACAAAAACAGTCATTAGTCGCAAATATTTTTCGTAAACGTAGCGACGAAAATGTCACAAACGTCGCTCAAAATAGCGACGACAATAACATTCGTCGCCAACATTTGCGACTTATTACGTATTCGTCGCAACTGGTAAGCGACGAAAGTATAGGATCCGTCGCGAATACTAAAAAAAACATTTTTTTTCCAGAAAATACGAATCTTGCGACGATTTATGCAATTCGTCGCCAACATTTGCGTCGAAAATGTTTTTTCGTCGCCGACCTTGCGACGGGACGTTTGGCGACGTTTTGTGTAGGATTTGGCGACGAAAATAATTCGTCGCAAACAAAAAAAAATCGTCGCCAAATACACATTTTCGTCGCCAAATTTCGTCGCCAGTCGACTGTTTTGGCCTAGTGGTTAGTGTTGGAGATGACGTGAAAAAAAAAAACAGAGAAGAGAAGAAACGAGAAAGAGGGCGGAGAAACGAGAGAGAGGCGGCTAGTCAAGAGAAAAGAAAGAGGAAGAAGAGAAATAGGGTTGGTGATATTATATGGTAATTATATATAGGTAATATAGGTTTACTACTTAAAATTTTAATTTATGCTAAATTGAAATATAAAATAAGGGGGGCTTAATATGCAAAATATGGTTATATCCATCATAATATAAGCAAATGTGTTGGGAAGTTTTCACTAATTATCCCTATTTATAACGTGCCCTATAATATATATTATTTAGAGAAAATTACGGCTACCCCACTGAGTTATGGTCAAATTACGAACCCCCAACCTCTTGTCTGGGTAATTACAATCACCTCCTCAACTATGTATTATGTTACGAAAATACCCCTCTAGAGGTAAATTTAGGGATGTTAAATTGGTAAAATTGAACCGAAATTTCGGTACGCCAACATTTCATACCGTTAACCGAACTGAATATACGATTTGGTTATGTAAATAACCGAATTAAATAAATTTTATTTAAAATATTTCAAAGGAGGGGTGGCTCTAATTATCCAAACAAGAGGAATTTTATTATTTGGCCATACCTCAAGGGGTGGCTGTAATTTGCCCTATTATTTATAGGTGTATTTTTTGCAAAAAACATCGGAATTTTTAGAAATTATTTTTGGAAATTAAATCGAAACGGAAATAAAAAATTCCGATATTTTTTATATTATCCAATTTCAATAAAAAAAATTCGAAAAAGTTTGGAAATCAGAATTTCGGAATTCAGAATGAAAAAAAGTTCTTCTAAATTCGAAAATTTTCGGATCAGAACCGGTGGAAATTGGAATTTTCGTTTCAACTTCCACCACTAGTAAGGAAATTAGAGAAAATATAGAAATAAGAATATATTGTGATAAAGACTTTACTTTTAGGTCTCCCCTAGTAAGGTCTTCGCCTTAGAAATTTTGGGATTACAAATAGTGGCCGCCTATTTTAATTTGATCAAAAAATAATAATTATTTTTAGGAAAAATTACAAAAATCTCCCTCCTATTTGGGTAATTATAACCACCCCTCAACTATATATTATCTTCCGAAAAAACTTCTCCAGATGTAAATTTATGGATACTAATTCGGTAAAATCGTATCGAAAATTCAGTACGCCAACACTGCATATTGTTTGCCAAACCGAAATATATAATTTGGTTTCATAAATAATCAAATTACATAAATTTTATTGAAAATATTTTAAAAGAAGGGGTAGTTGTAATTACCCAAACCGGAGTTTTTTTTTGGTAATTTGCCCATATATTAGCTATGCCTAGGGGTGGAAATCGGACGGATCGGATCGGATTTGGGTGTTTCGGAAAATTTCCGATTTTTTTCGGAAGTCCAAAACGCCTTCCGATTCCGATTCCGATTTTTTTGGAATTCAAAAAGTGATTCCGATTCCAATTTTTTTGGAATTTTCGGAAATTTTTTGGAAATTTTCGAAATTTTTTCGGAATTTTCCCAAAAAAAAAAGAAAGAAAAAATTGATCACCGACACAGTAGCCAAATTGCAGAAAGAAACATCAAATAATGGTTTCGAAGTAATTCTAATAAATTTTGAGTTTTGACTTTTGTATTTTTTAGAAAATTAAAAAAAATAATATGTCCAAATATATATATATATAATAATTGGAAAAAAAATATTAGTAATATACTAATATATATTACTAGTAATTAGTACAGACTGCGGATAGATATAGACATATAGTAATAAATATTAATATTATTATAATTGGAAAAATCGGAATAAATCAGAATAAATCGGAAAATAATCGGAATAATTTCGGATCAGAAACCGGAAATTCCGAAATTCTGTTATGTATTTCCGATTCCGATCCGATTTTTTTCGGAATTTTCGGAAATCGGAATTTCGGAATTCGGAATTGAAAAAGTCGTTCCAAAATCGGAATATTTCGGATCGGATTCGGCGGAAATCGGAAGTTCCGTTCCAATTTCCACCCCTAGCTATGCCTATATGTAAACTCCTCATACTTCACAACTTGCCCGCATCGCTGCTATTGCAACAGCGTGTCTCGTGAAAACTCAGCGGATTATGCGTTTCTTCCGGCGCTGCGGTGAGTTTTACTATTGTACATTATCGCTTTTTTCAATTTTTAAATTCCCAAAAATATCCTTATTTCGCTGGAGATAGAATCTCTCCAATTCTGATTTTTTTTTTTGCCCCCTTTTTCTTTGATGTGTTGTGTTGATGTGATTTAATATTTTTTTGCTGCTTAAGGGATATGCTTTTCAATTATGAAAAATATGATTTTTTTTCTTTGGAAGCTAAAATCAGAATGCTAACAGATTTGCGTATTTGTTTATCTGTTTGTCTTTGCTTCTTTAATTATATACTTTAATGTTTATTATAAATTGTGTATATGTTTGTCTTCTTATGCTCAATTTCTCTTGGTGATATTATTGTTGTAAAATTTAAATAGAAACAAGAAATTGATATTTTCAAAGTATGCAAAAAAATAAAATATATTGATTGCTTAATGGTGTACTATGGAGTACTTTTTTTCAATTGATTGCTCAAAACATTCCAGTGGGTAAAAAAAATTGAAAATAAAAATCATCTTCTATAAATTAATACAGTCGGGACCAGTGAATTCTATTAATTTAGCGAATTATTAAATTATCGAGTTAATAATTCAACATGTTTTCACCGATTTGGGACTGAGAGAAACTTTTATTTAATCGAGATTATTAATTCATCGAGTATTAATTTATCGAGGTTCTACTGTAGATTTTTTATTATGAACTGCGATGAATATGAAATAATGTTCACACTTAATCATTATTATCTTAATCTTTTATTGAAATTTCTTCTAGGCAAGGAGCCGAGGAATGTAATCAAAGTCAGCTACACGAAGTTGGCGTCATACACTAATAACTTTAGCGAGAGCAACTACATTGGCCGTTTCCAATTCGGCAAACTTTATCGTGGAGTTCTCTCATCGCCTCCATGGGTGACATATATACTGGTGAAGATATGGGAAGTTCCAGAAATTTACAGCTACGAGCCTGGAGATAATGAAATTAGACTAATGGTATATTATATATGCTGTAATTCCAATATTTTATTTTTAATTTTTCTCGCGAGGACTTTTGCGTTTTGACCTGTGTGTAATACGTGCTTGTACTAGGAGGAAGTCGTTCTACTTCGCAACGTACCGCTGATCAGTCATCCAGGCATGGTACCGCTGTATGGATACTGCCATGAAGGTGGACACCTTGCTGCTGTATACGAATTCAAACCATTCGACTCTGTTGTTAACCTCATTCCTAAAGGTATTGTATATGTACCCTTTTTTTTCTTTTTTTTTTTTTTTTTTTTTTTTTCGGGTTTGCAACTCTGACATCGGGAAAAATAACGGAAAAATGTGTTTAACACATGTAGATGATTTCACTTGGCTGCAAAGGATCAAGGTTTCGTTAGGCTTGGCTGCGCTTCTCAAATTTATGCATGCTGGAAACTCTTCGTCTTTCAAACCTTTCATAGTTCATAATCTTGATGCTGCCCACATAATTCTTGATGAGGTGAGTTTAGGTTAGGTGCTTTTCGGTTCTCGATTTTGATTGGACTTATTGTGAGGAACGCAGTAAATAAATAGTTCATTAATTTTATGCAGGACTATAATCCAAAGCTTTGTGATTTTGGTTCGGTAAGTGGTGGAATTTTCAACGAAGGGAGGGATCATGGCTACACCAACGTTGGCACATCCGGTACAGGTACAGTTAAACCTCTATAAATTAATACAATCTGGACCAGGGAAATTCTGTTAATTTAGCAAATTAGTCGGGACTGAAATAAACTATTATTTAATTGAGGTTTTTAATTTATCGAGTATTAATTTATCGAGGTTCTATTATTTGAATTACTGAATGCTAATTAAATTTGTTTGATGCAAATTTCCCGAGCATCTTTATGACACAAAATATCGTAACACTTCTTCTTACAGGTAATTGCTCGAACAAAGAAGACGTATTTGCGTACGGGGTTATTCTTCTCAGTTTGATATCGAGGAGAGTTCACACGGAAGAAGACAGGAAAGCTGGTGTACCATTTATTTACGAATGGGCTGTAAACGAGTACGAAGCATTTGAATGTCAAAATACCAAGTTTTCACTCGTCCATAAAAGTTTATCAGAAGGAGGTGATTTTAGCCATAGCGATGGCTACAAGATTACTAAGCTCGCACTCGAGTGCATAAATGGGGTCGAACACGAACGCCCGACCATGGAGCAAGTTTTTAGATCTCTGCTCGAACTTGAAGTTGCTAAGCAACATGCCGATTTCCTTGGAGCAAACGACACGCGTGAGGATGGCTGCTGATATGCCGATTTCCGTTTGTGTTTTTCGCTTTATATTAGTTTGAAAGGTAAATCTGAGAAATTGTAAGATGTAATTGATTTGTTTATTAAGGGTGTGGCTATATGGACTCCACCAAATTACTTAACATACTACACCTCAAATACTTATTTCAATTATACCCTTATTTATTTTATTAATATTTAATCAACACCTATCACACACTCCACCATTTAAGGAAAAAAATGAAAAAAAGAACATGAAAACACAACAAACAGTTTCAGGGAAGAAAAAAGAAAGAATAAGGAAATATGTAGTCCACCATGTCCGTCGTCCGTTTACCGCCTTTTGCCACCGAGAATTGTTGTCGAAAGCTCACCACTAAGTCATCCTTATCGGCGGTCGTTCTTCCATGGTGAATATTATCAACAAAAAAAAAAACAAAAAAAAATAATATTGTCTGTAATTGTACTGTTAACGATAATACAATTATGTTAATGTACGGTAAACGACAGTAAAATTACGTTAATGTACTGTCAATGACAATATAATTACTGGTAATTACAGTATAATTACGGTCAACGTTTAGCGACGGGGTACAAAATGAAAAAAAAAAGAAAAAAGATCAACGCCGGAAACCGGCGGCGAAAAAAGAAGATAGAAAAAAAAAATCGAAATAGTCAACGTCAGAGACCGGCGGCGGAAAATACATACAGAAAAAAAAAAATCGAAAAATCAACGCCGGAAACCGGCGGCAAAAAAATAATTTCAAAAAAAAAGTTTAAAAAAAAAGTAAAATTTGGATTTTGTGGTCAAAATTGAATAAATTGGGGTTACAATTAAGAAATTTGGTGTAAAGAGTTAGGGGTAATTTTGTCATATACATTAATTTTTCCTTTATTTATAATACATATTAAATAGATGCTCCTATTAACAAAAAAAATATAACCCATAAACCTATAACGATAAACATGGTTGGTCAAGAACTCATACACAAAAATCCTTGTTAAAAATGCCGACAATATAATGGTGCATATTTTTACAGGAATATACTATGACGTGTTCACGTATTGTAGTTCTTCCTTCATATATGTAGACTTTGTTACGTGCATGATAAATTCTTCGAATTCAAACTTTTATTTTTATTTAAACTAGCATTCTTTCCCCGTACGATGCACGGGATATTATTTAAAAAACGAAAAAAAATAAACAATTTAATACATAATAAGAAAATATAGTACACTAACATAGTAAATTTAATAATGTAGTATTATTTATATTTTGTATAACATTAGGTTTTTTAAATCTTACATATTAAGATTTATAATCCAAATTCAATTTCTATCTTTATCGATGAAAAATAGGTGATTGATAATTGTTGAAAATTATGATTAGAAAATTAGTAGAGAAAAAATATTAGAAATAAATAATTACAAAAGTATCATTAGGGTAGAATTCTTCACAATTTAGTTTTAATTTTGATAATTGTTAAAAATTATAGTTAGAAACTAGTACAGAAAAAATATAAAAAATAAATAATTACAAAAATATCATTAGGGTTTTTTTTAGGGTTGCCCAGCGTTTCTTTCTTTTATATATAAGATGTATCCAAGTACGATTACGATATAATAAGAAATTAAATATATGTTTATCCATGCATGGGCAAAAGAACTAGTCAAAGATTATAAGCTTAACAATATTGCAAAGGTGAAAAATTAACAGCAAAAGTGTATTTCTTTTTCTATGATATAAAATTGTAGTAAAAACATTTATAATGACAACAAATTTATTTTGTTGCCAATAAATGAGGAAAGACAATAATTTTTTTGACTTAATCCCACTTTGTGTTCTTGAAATATACAATTTTGGCACTTTATAACCTCAAAATGAATTAATAGTACTTTGGACCCTCGAAACACAATATAATGCATAATGCACCTCATATAATTTTTTTTTAAAGCTAATAAAGTTACTTTAATATTTTTAGTGGTATTTAAAAATAATATTTTTTTGTCACAAAAAAAATACTTTACGAAAAAAAAAATCCTTCGTCTATTTCGTTATCAAGTTATCTGAAAATCATGTTTTCTTCCAAATATTTATACTTAATATTTCCACCAATTACAATAAAAGTTTTATCAATCGAATAATTTAGTGTTAAAAGTTTAGTTGATTTGATTTTGTAAGAAAATATAAACTTTTTCAATTATCCGGTGTGATTTTTATTTTTTCCCACTTTGTGCGCTCAAAATTAGGTTGGAGGCTGAAGAAAATAACAATTTAATTTGTTAATTTGCATCCTGAAAAAAAAAAGAAAAAAAAACAATAAAAAATGAATTATCCTTTATTATTATTCAACTCAGGGTGCATTGTGAATGATTTATTGTGTATCGAGGATACAAAATGCTATTATTGTTTTTCAATGGTGCAAAGTGGGATTATGCCGACATCACCTATTGACTTTCTTGTTGCCTTATTTTTTACCTTTTTACCCCTATTGTGTAAGGGTTCAAAGTTTATATGTGCCTTGTATTTTTGGCTTTATTTTTCCTCATTTTTTAATTTGAAATTGGTATTTTTTTTTCTTAACTTCACGATAATTTCCTGCTGTAGTTGTTATCATGGGTTCAATTTTATATAACAATTCTATGCAAACCATATTAGCAACCGGATACCTAATTTCTTTAATTAAACCAAGTATCTCAAAATAGGAGATTAAATCAGGCGTAAGTCAAACCCCTAATAAACAGGTCTTTATAATGGGTTTTAATTAAAATAATGATATGCAACTATAGCAACAAAAAAAATATGCTCAACTTAATAAAATATTAAAATAAGCTAAATAATTGCTTAAATAGTCATTCAAGTACAGTTTGCATAATGAGTTATGTTGGAAAAATGGAAGAGATAGTGACTTTAATTTGTACTTTTTTATTTTAACCGAAATATTTCTAAGTACTAAAATTCACATATATTTTCCATAGACTAAATGTGAGGTAAAATTGCAATTGCTCAACAAAACATTACAAAACTATGGATTTACATTTTTATAAGTTTGACCAAAAAATATAAATGAGTATTTGATACATTTCGTAATTGAGGGGTGTGTTTGCAACACACCCCATAATTTAGGGGTGCAAAATCAACTTTGTCCAATTATTAATAAGACATTATTGCATGCATTTGCAAGTTCTTTTTGAATAACATGAGAAAAGTCCCATAATGTAATGTGTTAGAAAAATAATTTTCTTGTGAGCATTTTGAAATAGGACATAGGAACTTAGGTGGCAAAATGCCTTAAATGATTTTCAGGGTTACATATTACCAAATCAACATACATTATTTCTTCAAAAAAGTTTCGCAACCACAAACCTAGAAGTTGCATATGTGAAATCAATCAAACTTTAATTTCAACTTATTTTCTGTTTAAAAAAAAAAAGGGTAAATTTGACTTTTCTCCTTTGTACTTTGGCTGAATATCACTTTACCCTCTTTTATTTTCAATTGCATCGATTTGCCATCCTATACTTGAAAAATTGTCTCAATGTAGCCCTCGTCGTTAGTTTTCAGACCTTTGATCTTAACACCGTTTGATCTAAGTTTGAAAATTACAAAAAAACCACCCCTCCAAGTTTAAATAATTATTGGAAAAAAAAATGTAACTGTGGCAGGTGTCATGGACTATGCTTTCTCGTTGTCTTGATTTTTTTTAATTTTTTTTTCTGTTTTTTTTTTCTGTCTTTTTTTTTTTTAAATAACTATTTAAATTGGGAGGGGTGGCGCTTTTGTAATTTTAGAGCTTAGATCGGTTGATGTTAATGTCAAATGTCTGACAACTAACAGCGAGGGCCACATTGAGACAAATTTTCAAGTACATGGGCAAATTGATGCAATCGAGAATAAAAAAGAGTAAAGTGATACCGAGTCAAAGTACAAGGGAGAAAGTGAAATTTACCCAAAATTTAAATATCACCCACCAACAAATATAATTTATATATTTTAATATTGAAGTATTATAACTAGGTTTATTCATGTATATTCGTGTCGTCGTTTACTATTGGACTAGTGTGCAGAGGGAATGTGTGTAAAGTTATATATGATGATGATATTAGCGATTTAATAGCTTAGTATATAACCTATGATATATTACAAAAAGATAAATAGAGCGCCCAGCTACCATTAAAGGAAAACAGTTTGCGTATAGTAACCAGAGGTGGATTTAGGGGTGGTCATCTATGCCATGGACCACCCTAAATAAGAAAAAAAAAATTAATCATATATATATAATATTGGATGCTTATGTGGTAAAGTAATCCAAATTATATAGTGAGGTCGAGAGCTCGACGCCCAACGAATACCGACATATAATTCAGAGGATTTTCGAATTCAGTATAGGGAATCCCGAGAAATTGAAAGCAAATCAAAGGAAAAGGGTGCTAGGGTTTCAATTGATAAAGAGGTAAAATTGTTAATTGACAGCCGATTCGGTGGTTTACGGCTGTTGTCTCAGGTGGTGGTCACCGAATTTCAGAGAGAAGTCAAGTCTGTTGTTGAAACTTTAGGAGTCGATTAAAGGTAATTAGACTTTGAATTTCATTTTTTATGATTTTTTAGATAATTTGTGCACCATCAATCGAATTGTTTAATTGATTTTATTTAATTTATTTTATAGTATTTTGTTCAAGTTCTTTACTCCTATCCCTCGATTTTCGGAGTCTAATAATTCTAGTATCGGAAATGAATCAACAATTGAAGCCTCTCCGATTCTTTCTACAATTGAGGGACCATCCGGAGAACCTTCTTCTACTCCTTCATCAAGTGATCCACCATCTTCAAATAAGGTATTCAAAAAAGGGGAATATTTAGAGTTGAATCCTGGCAAAAGAACTCCAATTCTTGTTTATCATCCAAATGATCAAGATGATGTGAGAAGAGCTTATCTTGTAAATGGACCTACAAGACCCAATATGACAGAATATCCTCCTAGAAAGATTGGGAAAATGAATCGTTCTTTTAGTAATAGTTGGTATAAAGACAATGACTGGTCAGAATATAGTATAGAAAAAGAAGCTGTGTTTTGTTTGCCATGTTATTTGTGTTACAATAGTACTAGTCATTCTGCATTTGTGATTGAAGGTTTTAGGTGTTGGAATCTAAAAAACCTGTTGAATACACATGTTGGTGAACTCAATAGTCATCATAGAAATTGTGTCAAAGCATGTGCGAATCTTATGAAGAAAAATCAAAGTATTGAGTCTTCATTTATAAAGCATAGTACAAAAGCAAAAGCTGATTATCTTGTTCGTGTAAAAGCATCACTTGAAGCAGTTAAGTTTCTTGTCAGATTTGGGAATTGCGTTTAGAGCACATAATGAAGGGGAAAATTCTATTTATAAGGGCCATTTCTAGAATTTATCGAAGCATTGGGGAGAAACAATGAGAAAATAGCAGAAGCATTTAAAAGTGGCGGAGGAAATTGTAAGATGACTTCTCATGTTATTCAAAAAGAACTTGCAAATGCATGTGCCGTTGAAACTGTTAAAAAAATAGTTGAAGAAATTGGAGATGGTTTCTTTAGTGTTCTTGTTGATGAGTCTGGTGATTGCTCCAGTAAAGAACAAATGACAGTAGTTGTGCGTTTTATTGATGATAGAGGATTTATTGTCGAACAATTTATTGGCATTGTTCATGTTGAGGATACAAGTGCGGAAGCGCTTAAAGATGCTCTTGAAACTTTGTTGTTGAGATTTGGATTATGTATATCTAAAATTCGAGGACAAGGATATGATGGAGCAAGTAACATGAAAGGTCAATTTGGTGGATTGAAAACCTTGATTCAAAAAGAGAATCCACAAGCCTGATATGTGGAGTTTTTTGCTCACCAACTTCAATTGACTCTTGTTTCAATGGCTCGGAAACATGAATATGTTGATTGGTTTTTCCTTGAAGTGTCTCGTATTGTAAACTTTCTACGGTCTTCTAACAAACGACAATTTTTGCTTCAAAAAATAACAAGTTGCTCATTTTGGAAATCTAATTAAGGATGAGTTGGTGGAAACGTGTACCGGTTTGAACCAAGAGTTGTCTATTGCAAGAGCGGGTGATACATGGTGGGGATCTCACTTTCGGACTCTTAGTAGGTTGGTTGATTTGTTTACTCCCATTATTGAAGTGCTTGAAGATTTGAAAAGTGATAGATATTCAAAGGGTGAACCAAAAAGTTTATTATTTGTCATGCAAAATTTTGGTTTTGCTTTTATGTTGCACTTAATGGTTGAGGTTTTGTCGTTGACAAATGATTTGTCTCAAGCATTACAAAAGGGAGATCAAGATATTGTGACCGCCATGCAACTTGTCCAAGTAAGTAAGAAAATGCTTCAACAAATGAGAGATAATGGGTGGGAAACATTTTATGAAAAAAGTGGTGGATTCTTGTGGTAATCTTGAAATTGATGTGCCCAACATGGAGCCAAGGTATGTGAAAGGTAATAAATCCAAAAGATAAATGTACTAAAATTTTCTAAAACATAAAAAATGATAAAAAATATAATAATAATAATAATAATAATAATAATACTAAAATAATTAAACTTATCCTAATACTCGATAGCCTCCAATTATTATCATAGCAATCTAAATACTTGATTAATCTGACATGCATGTACTAAAATATTTTGAAACATAAAAAGTTAAAAAAAACAATAAAATAATACAAATTATATAATGTTGAATTGACAAGTCTCAATTATTTCAAGAATGATTGATTTTACATGTTATAGATTTTGTAATAAAAGACTTGGGTGATCGATTTACACCGGAAAATGTTGAGTTGTTGAATTGTGTAGCATGTTTGAATCCTTATTCCTCTTAATTAAAAATAGTACAAAATTTAGTATCAGTATTCATGTAATATTATTATCCATATATAAAGAGTTAAAAATAAAAAAATCTCTCCCCGCCGTTAGATGAATACATACACTCCCAGCATGTTGTGGAACTAGGGTGGTTGTTGGTTATTGGTTTGCAAAATATGTGCCACAAAGATTTTTCGAAAATCTGAGCAACGTTTACATGTTTAATTTACTGTTGTCTTCAAATATTTTTATCTAACAACTGCCTTGAAATTTTGTGAGATTATTTCTCAAATATGCAAGCAATTGCAGTCATAAAATTTGTGTTGCTTTTGCCTCTAACTAATTCTTGTTAAATATATTCAAGCTTGATGATCATTTTAACTCATTAGTGTGTGTTTTTTAAAACTAATTTTTGTTAAATATATTCAAGTATGATGATTCTTTTAACTTATTACTGTTGGATAAGGCAAATCGAAATAAAGTGAATTTTGACTATTGGCCATCTAAAGAGTGAAGTTCATGAATTTGAAAAAATAAAGATGCATCTTGAAGAACAATGAATTTAGTATTATGTCTTTTCATATATTTAAATAGTACTTAATTTTCTATTAGAATAAATATGAGGTTTATGTTTGTATTTTCTAGCAAGAAAAAAAAAGGCAGAGTGAAATAGAGAGAAACGAGAGTCTCTATCTTGTAAAAGGTAGCAGCCTAATTCCTTTGAGGAGTACACATATTTTGAGTGAAATCTTCTTCCCTTATTTATCATATTGAGTTGTGTTTATCTTAAATATTTGGGACCAACAATTACTGTGTGTTTTTTCTAACTAATTATTGTTCAATATATTCAAGTATCATGATCATTTTAACTTATTACTATGTGATTTTTCAAGTGTGGGATAGCTACGCAAAATGCCGCCAAAATCCAAGAAGAAGAATTTAAAAGTTTCAACTTCTAGCGATACGGGCTCTAGACCATCGAGCAATGTACTCAAGGTAAGAAAATATCTATGAAAGACTCTTTTAAATATATTTTTTATATATTGAGTAATGAACTCTTTTTTTTCACATAGCATATTCGTACATTCACACTTGGCGACATAGAAAATATCACTGAAAACTTTTATCCCGGTAATCGGTGTGGCGTAGGGCAGTACGTCTCGCTTTACAAAGGGATGTGGTATACAGAGGCTGTTGCCGTGAAAGTATACGAAGGTAGCGATGAAAAGCTAGCGAAGCTATAATTACCTAATTTCAATTGTTATCAATTACCGAATATAAATCCAAATCTCGAATCAGACACAAAAGGTTCATCAACAATTTCTAAACAAATCCAAACTCCCAATTGTGCATAGGTAAAATTAAACACTTAGTTTTACCGAATAATATGTCAAGAAAAAACTGTAAAAGCAATAAGTCTCTACAGCATAAACACGAAATTCGACACCATAAAATGAGAAGACGACATACGAGCAAGGAGACAGCATGCGAACTTCCGCGTTAATTTTTATTTATTCTCTCTTTTCATAGGAATTACGAGCAGCTAGTTTTCTTTTTCTAGGATTTTATTTGAACCCTATGTGAATTTTGTGAACCGTTTTCCATGATTTTATGCAAGTATTAATTCCTAATTATTTCTTCTACTTATCTTATTAAGTGCATGAATCTAACCAGAAATTCAGTTTAATAATTTGAATTGTGCTAGAAGAACTTTCAAGTAGACATGTATTATCATAGAATCTAGTTAACACCTTAAGTAACCATAACTGAGATTTATGCTTAATGATTTGTTCTTAATTGAATTGCATAAGAATATAGTACATGAACTTAATTAACACCAGAAAACGAAAAACATGATTAAGCTAATACATGAATTATTTTAATACATTGACCCTCTAGAATATTCCTTGGTAAAATATTTCAATAAGTTCACCATAGTCATAGAGAAACACTGTTCCATAGAAAAGTTTAGGGAAAAAAAAACATTCTAACATGCCAAATCCTAAAATTCACCGTAACATGTAGCGGAACAACCTCTTAGCATAACAATAGTTCACATAATCCAAGTATAATGATGTAACGCTTCATCTTCACGACTTTCAATTCCTCAAGCACATCTATGACCCGTTCAATGGACGGACAGTGGTTTGATTCTTCATTAGGGCATTGTATTTCCAAGTCGGTAATTGTTTTTGCATCTTCAAAACTACAACAGGACCGGATTAACATGTTATAGACGCCGTGGAGTTTCTTATTTTTTTAACTCAAGCCTTGGGCGACACATGTAACTTAAACCTTTTTAAAAAATTGAGAGCTTTCTTGTTCCCTTTACCACCTTTTTTGTTTTACAATTCGACCACCATTGCTTCTAAAGATTCTTCGATTTTCGGGAAGGTTTTGTTTTCATGATCATCTACAAGAGTATCACTCCATACATCTGTCTTATGTGTCCCCTTTTCCGTTAATTCCAAATATTACATAATATTTAATGCCCATAAAGATATTAATATAAATTAAGGTGAAACTTTTAGATATATTTACTAATTTTCCATGGTTATCATACTCCGGTTTGTTTAGTATAACTAAATTTAATCATGATTATCTAGTACTCATAATTTCTATTATGAACTCTCAGTTTAATTTGTTCTAAAAAAAATATATTTGCCATTGAGATAATGTATGCAATTTCAACCTAAAAATATTCATTTATGATTAATAAACAAAATATGTCTTATGGCATGTAATAACGGTGAAGTGATTAAGAGAAATAGTCGATCATTTTTACCTGACACATTCACTTCGTTGGGTGTATAATTATCATTTATAGTCGGAATTTCGACTTCTCCTTCCTGGTTGAACAAAAGTCACGTAAAAATATTGTGTGATGATATATATATATATATATGATCGATTTTATTGCATAAGCCAGTCGCTTCAAAATTTTGAGGGTATTCATCAGGATTACCTCTAATGCTAGCAATAACAAGACATGAAAATTTTTGAGGGTATTCATCAGGAATCATCGATTTAATTTCATAAGCCAGTTGCTTCAAAATTTTGAGGGTATTCATCGAGATTACTTCTAATGCTAGCAATAACAAGACATGAGCAGTAGTGTATATAATGTCTGGATGATCAAACACATAAGAAGAAAAATGACATACATTAATATATACAATACAATGTTCATGCATCTTATCATACATTTGCTTGCTTTCAAAGATGATTTTAGAATAAAATTGGTGCTGATAATTTAGTTTGAGATTTATGACTTCAAAAGTTGCAAGAATGAAGATTTGTTTTTTAAAGGAAATAAAATATGTGTCATCAAGTAAAGTTAACCTAACAATCATTCATAATTATTTTGTTGATCGACACAATGGTATCATACATTCATTTTCAGTCTCGTGTTCTTCAAACAAGTCTTTCTGATTTTTAGGCACATATCTTCATGATAAAATTAAATCTACCATCGAAACTTATCCTTTTTAGGCGAACAACGTTCGGATAAGAATCCAAAAAGTAGCAAATGCATTATAACAAAGAAAATAGTAACAATAAGAACAAAAATTAAACGTTAATTGATTATAGTAGGAAATAAGTTAATTATACATTGGCTAGCTCGTCATCGTCCTCTTCGTATACTTTCATGACAATAACCTCATTACACTACATACCTTTGTAAACCGAGGCGTACTGCCCTTCACCGCACAAACTACCATAATGAATTTTTTATTATAGTTAACAAGTCATCAACTATGAATTTACGAATCTGTTGTATATAAAACAAGAGTTAATAAATCAATATTATATTATATATCAAAACTACAACTGGACCGGATAAATCTGTTATTGACGCCGTTGAGTTTGTTATCTTTTTTAACTTGAGTCCTGGGCGACACATGAAATTTTAAACTTTTTAAGTAATTGAGAGCTTTGTTGTTCTCTCTACCATCAACTTTTTTGTTTTGCAATACAACCACCGTTGCTTAAAAAGATTCTTCGAG